AACAGTGGAAAGCAATAAATCTGAAGAAAAACAAAATAACGAAGAGGAAGGGCATGGAATTAAATGTCCGCAAAATAGTAAATCTGAAAACTAAAGACACTTATGTTGAGTTAGTTTTCACAAAAGTCTTATAAATACAAGTATATGACAATAAGAAAGAAAAAATTTTGTAGAATCCTTTTCGTCGCTTAATACTGTGAATTTATGTCCCACTAGACTTTGAAAATTTTACATTTTAATATCTGTACCTGTTTTAGAATGCTCTTCAGCTGTAATACTTTGTGAGCTTTTCGATGCAGAGAGTGGTTAGGGAGGCATAAGCCGGAACCCAGTGGTTATTCCCGAAAATCATTAAAGATGCAAATAAATCGTGGTGCCTGCTGGTGTCTAACTTTTCCTTGGTACTGCTCACAGGCGAATTCAGGACGGGTTCTCGAGGGGAGGGGGAGGAAGGAAGAAGGGACACAGGGTGGACCGGAGCCCTCTCCCACCTTGGAACTATGTAAAAACTCGGAATAGGGTTGTAGCATTGCTACTTAGAGTTACTTTAGTTTTATTTATGAGCTAACTCGGGGCTTTTTCAAACCGGTGCCTATGCAGCGAAAAACCGATCGCCTCCCCTTGAATTCGTCTATGATAGTGCTTTTCCTGAATAAATGAAAAATGACTGATTCGCTTCGCTGATAGATTTGGTGCTGTTATTCTCGACATGGCAACCCTCAGTCTGCTTTTCTCGACGAAAGCCACTGGCAGTGCGTGTTGGATATTTTAGTAGAGGGTTTGTGAGATGGTGCTGGATATGCTAGGCTTTGTCTTTCTTTCACTGTGTCCCAAAAAGTCTGATTCGATGAATTTATTTGCGGCCAAAAAGAAACATTAAATGAAAGAAAAAGAGAGCACTAAATAAGCCATTACAGACTGCTCATCCGGCAAATCTGCCCACAAACAGTATTGTCTTGAGATTTTTAACAATGGCAAATATGAACGGTTCATCGGCGATGAACGGAGCCGGTCCCATCATACGGAACTCAAACTCTGCGGCGCTTGCGGCTGCTGCCTCGGTGCCTTCCTCATTCACCTGCAAGTACCCATTATCACCTTTTAAAATGTGGGTGTGAACCAATAGAAACTGATATAAGCCTAAACGACGGATGCTGGTCGGAAGCATGTAGGGCTTACGAGCGGGTTTAAAGCAGACGGAGGATCTTCTAAGAGTTCAAAAGACTAGCTATCCGCTGAACTCACTTCACCTTAGCTAATGCTTCTGGCATCCGGATACCTCCAAAACACCCTTTTAGCGAGTAAAAACTTACCCAAGATAAATTCATGAAGCAAGCTAAATTTATTATTTCGCAACTCAAAAAGTGCAGATTCTTCAATTTCTTCAAATGCATTAACTATTGATCTTACACACCTGATAATGAATTATTTCAAGATTTTCAAAGAAAGGAAAACGGCTTTCAACCCCTGCGATGTCTTGTTATTGGACAAACGAACCAGGATGTAGCGGTTTTTGATGAAAGTGCTAAAAACTTTGGAGCTTCTAAATTGTTCTTTTCCGGCGGAGCAAAAATCTGCATTTACCCCATTCACAACCTTTGCCCGCTTTTCATGTTTTGCTGAAAACAGTGAATAGTTCCACTGCCCATAAAATGGAATTTCTGATAAAACAATTAGTGTTGACTACTTGGACAGTACCAGGACGTCAAAGCAGCCAGGGGGAAGGGGGCGAACGGTAGAGGGAGACGTTTATAGCCCAGCAGCAAGCGAAATCTAGAGATGTGTAGTAGTAAGTGCATTTGACACACACAGTATAACCTGCAACAATAATAAATTCGAGAAGTAAGAGAAAATACAAAATGATTTGTATAAACTATAAGGGCAAACCTCAATGAAAGCCTTATGGACAACACCGGAAACAGAAAGCGGAACTCTGCTGATGCCTGTTAGATTTGCATTCTCGGCGAAAACTTCGGTGATATTCAATTTTTCCAGCGCTTCCACTAATTCGAGCTTCTTGTCCAATTTGATCCGCGGTAAATCAATCTGATTCAGGGATTTTTA